CTTGGCTGGGTCATGATTTTCAGTGGTTTGGCAGTTATGACATAGTGTATCAGTTACATAAGGGTGTAGTTATCTCCTGTGATGAGATATGATACAATGTGATCACCTCCATGATGATATCTGCTATGAGCACCCAATTAGTTGGGAGGGAGTTTCCTCAGGGGTGTGGCCTGCGTCCAACAGATATGGATGTTCCGACAAACTCTCGGGTTTTCTGCTTGATCTGGATCCTGCAACTGGCTCCTCATTATCTAATCTCTTGGTTCTTTGGATTTCAGCCAACAGTCTACCAAAGTGCCTGCTGATACTGGGATTATATTATTAATAAGTCACCTTTTGGTGAATATTTGAGCTACTTCCAAGTTTTCATTATTACAGATAATAATTAATATCCTTAAATGTGTATTGTTGCACACATGTTTAAGTATTTCTGGTTTTGTTGCTGTTCTGTACCATTGAGTAGGTTCCAACTCATAGCAACTCTATGTACAACAAAATGAAACACTTCCCCATCCTGCACTAGCCTCACAATCCTTGCAGTCTTTGAGTCCACAGTTGCAACTGTCTTCCAAATCTCTTGGCACAGTGGAGTGAGTGCCTCCAGCAGGGCATCTGTTTATTGAAACATCTCAAGGGTATCCTGTCAATTCCTGGAGCCTTGTTATTAATTGCAATTCTCAGAAGTCATAAAAGAAAAATGCTACAGAGAGTCAAGAGAGCAAGGATAAAAACAGACATGGAAGTACAGAGATAGTGTCCCTGAGGAAGCGACATTTAAGCTGAAGAATGAGCTGGCCAGTTGAAGAGGTGAGACGCAGTACCATCTGAGAGCCAGCATCCCAGAGCAGAAAATCATGCACACAAGAGCCTTTAGTCAGCCACCCAGTTGGCACATCAGGGGAACTGGGAAAAAGAAAAAAAAAAAAAAAAAGGCTGAAGCATAATGTGCAAGGTAGTGAGGTAATGCTGGAAAAGCAGGCAAGAACCAGGAGCTACAAGTTCTTAGAAATTACTTTTGAGATCTGAAGTTTTGTCATAAGTGCCATGGAAGACTTCAAGGTTTCAACTTGGAAGGAAATGATCAGAATGATGGTTTTAAAGACTGTATGTGAACACCCAACCCAGGGTGATGCACCCCCCTTCCCTACAGAGATACACTCCTTGGAGCAATCAGCCATGAGGCACCAGAGGGGCAGCATTCACATGGAGGGAAAGCTAGACAGACAGGAGTGCATAACTAATAAGGGCACAGGGATGGGGGAGTCACTGGGAAGGGAGAGGAGGAGGGGGTTAGGTTTGAGGATGGTAATGGGGGCGTGAAACCAAATGTACATGAACTGTTGAATGTAGAACAAATTCTGCTCTGCAAATTTGTACCCAAAGCACAATATAAATAAATAAACAAACTCTATGTGTTTTTTAGTCAAGTTTAAAACACACTGTTGTAGGAGTTGGGTGACAAATGGAGAGGAGAACAAGTGAAGGCTGTGATACAAATGTGGAAGTTACTGCAGTGGTCCAGGAAATGGTGATAATTTAGACCAGAGTAGTGGCAGTGAAGGCTGAAAGAAACAGAATTAATCCAGGAGGTAGAATCTGTGACCCTGGTGCTTGATTAGATCAAGGAAGGAGGAAGACGAGAGATCAAGCATGACAACCAGATTTCAGGCAGGTATAGCTGCATTATGATTATTAATGAGATAATAACTGTTGTTAGGTGTCATCAAGTCAGCTCCAACTCATAGCAACCCTATGTGCAACAGAACGAAACACCGCCCATTTGTGCACCATCCTCACAATCCTTGTTATACTTGAGCCCATCGTTGCAACCACTGTGTCAGTCCATCTTGTTGAAGGTCTTCCGCCTGTTGCGCAGACACTCCACTGCATGACCTCCTTCTCCAGGGAATGGTCCCTTCTGACAACATGACCAAAGTAGGTGAGATGAGGTCTGGCCATTCTCGCTTCCAAGGAGCATTCTGGCTGCACTTCTTCCAGGACAGATTTGTTTGTTCTTCTGGCAGTCCATGATTAACAATGATGTACTGATTATCATGTAGCAGGCACTATTTTAAGCCTACCACCATCTGCCAGTTTGCCATACTCTGGTGGCTTGCATGTTACTATGATGCTGGAAGCTACACCATCAGTATTTCAAATACCAGTAGGGCAAGGTTTCCAGACTAAGACAGACTAGGAAAAAAACCCTGATGATCTAGTTCTCAAAACTAGCCACTGAAAACCATACAGATCACAACAGAATGGTGTCTGATATACTTCTGGAAGATGAGCTCCCTGGGTTGGAAGGCAAGGATGGACTCAGCATGCTAGTATCCTGAGGACGGCACAGGACGAGGTAGCATTTTGTTCTGTTGCACTTGGAGTCACCATGAGTTGGAGCCAATGGCAACTAACAACAATTATTCTAAGCACCCTCCATATATTAACTCATTTAATCTTTACAAAAAACCTAAGAGCTGAGAACTATTATTATCTATATTATTATCTCTATTGTACTGATGAGACTCATGGAGGTTAAGGAACTTACGTAAGATCATATAACTAGTAACTCACAGAGAAGGCAGCACTGAAGAAGCAAGTTTGCAATAGAACAAGAATGTAATTTGGAGTATGATCATTTTGAGATTCCTCTGAAACAACAAGGAGTTCTGGTGGCACAGTTCCTAAGGTATTTGACTGTTAACCATAAGGCTAGTGGTTCAAACCTACCAGCTGCTCCATGGAAGGAAAACAGGGCAATCTAATTCTGTAAAGATTTATCACATAGGAAACCCAATAGCGGTCACTATCAGTTGATAGCATGGGTTTGGTGGGGTTTTTGTTGTTGTTATTGTTGTTTTCTGTTGTTCTTGTTTTTCTTTTTGGTTCTGAGACATCTAAGGGGAAATAGTACCTAAGGCACTTGACTGCTAACCAGAAGTCTGGCAGTTCAAACCCACCAGCCACTCCTCAGAAGGAAGGTTGGGCAATCTACTTCCGTAGTGATCCTGCCTCAGAAACCCAAGGAGGGGTTGCTATGAGTCGGGGCCAACTCAACGGCACATAACAACAACAACAACAACAAGGGGAAATGTAGGGAAGTCATTTGGCTATAAATTGAAATGCAGAAGAAAATGTAAAAACAAAATTTAAGGAAATATAAATTTATAATTGGAGGCTCAGATGTGGACGAAAATAGCTAGAGAGACTATGTAGCATGAGAAACAAAAAGAGCTGAAGACATACAACATTCAAAGTTTAAAAAAAAGATTGGTACTGAGTACTAAAAAGAAGCATCCAAAAAAAAATAATAAGTAGTAGGAAAGTCAGAGGATTAAGGGTTTATGGTATTGTCACAGAAGTCAAGTAACTCTCAAATTAGAGGAGGGAATCAACTATATTCTATGCTTTTAAGAGGTCAGGTAGAAAGACAACCCAGAAAATGGGAGACCACATTTGCAAATCACGTGTCTGATAAGGGAGGTAGATCTAGAATACATAAAGAACTCTTACAACTTGATAATAAAGAAAAATCACCTGATTTTTTAAATTGGGAAAGGATCTCAATAGACATTTCTCCAAAGAAGATATGCAAATAGCCAATAAACACAAGAAAAGATGTTCAAAATCAACAGTCATTGTTCAGTACCGTCGAGTCGGCGCCAACTCACAGACAACTGAATGAAATACTGCCTGGTTGTGCATCCTCTTCACAATCTTTGCTATCCTTGCAGTCATTAGGGAAACACAGATCAAAATCACAATGAAATTCCTCTTCATATCCACTAAACCAAAAAAAACAAACTCACTGCTGTCGAGGTGGACCCAACTCATAGCAACCCCTCCTTGGGTTTCCGAGGCAGTATCACTATGGAAGTAGATTGTCCAACCTTCCTTCCAAGAGTGGCTTACGGGTTTGAACTGCCAGACTTCTGGTTAGCAGTCAAATGCTTTAGGCACTATGCCATCAGAGCTCCCTCATATTCCTAGGATGGCTATAATTTAAAAAAAGCGAGCGAGCGAGAGAGAGAGACATAAACAAGGGTTGGCAAAGAAGTGAAGAACTTCGAACCCTCATACACAGATGGGGGTGTTGTACAATGAATGGGCAGTCATTTGGGGAAATGGTGTGACAGTTCCTCAAAAAAATTCTACATTGAGTTACTACATGACTCAGCATTTCCACTCCTAGGTATACATCCAAGAGAAATGAAAACATGTCCACACACAAACTTGTACACAAATTTTTATAGCAGCATTATTCATAACAGCCAAGAAGTAGAAACAATGTAAATATCCCTGAGACAAATAGAATGTGATATATCCATACACTGGAATATTATTGAGCCACACAAAGGAATGAAGTACCTTTGTGCTATACCTGGATACCTGCTATAACATGGATGAACCTTGAAAATATGACGCTGAATGGAAGACATCATCCACAAAAGAACATATACTGCATTTTTCCATTTATCTGAGAAGTCCAAAACAGGCAAATTCCGGAGACAGAAAGTAGAATAGCAGTTGCCTAGGGCTGGCTGAGGAGTTCCTATATGGTGCAAACGGTAAGAGCTTGGCTACTAACCAAAAGGTTGATGGTTTGAGTCCACCAGAGGTGGCTCAGAAGAGAGGCCTGACAACCTACTTCCAAATTATCACAGCCAATGAAAACCCCATGCAGTGCAGTTTTCCTCTGAAACATGTGGCTCACCATTAGTCATGTACCTAATTTGTGTTCACTGAACTGAAGCGGGGTAAAGAATGAGAAACCTGCAGGAAACAAAAGGTATTTCCTCATGCTCCCTCACCATGCCTTCAGTGTTCTTTCTGGTTTGTCTTATTATTGGACAAACATAGTTGCCCACACCTTCTGACCTTTCTCAATATTTGCATGACTGAAAGAGGCTGAGGCAACCTGAAGGAAGAGTTTATATTACGCTCTGCCTAATAAATAGCCAGGCACATTAGCTATCACATCCCAGCTCAGTGGTGCAGAGATGACCCAAGTGCACCAGCTGCCCCTAGTGGGGCTCCTGCTGTGTCTTCTTATTCCAAGCCATCTATGCAAGATCTGTGGTGAGTACACTTTGTGGTAAAATTACTCTCATGTTACCGTCTCCTGATGGCTACTGACAGGGGACCCTTTAGAGTTACTTTTAGAAGACCTTATCCAGTTCTATGCAGGGTTGGTTGCTGGGAGTGACGTAAAGATGGTGAGGAGAAACCCCATGATGCGCATTCTAAGGCTCAATGGTTCAACATTGACTTGTCTGACTCTTCTCGGTATGTTCAGCTCCTCTCTACCATAACATCCCTAGCAAATAACTGCCTATTCTTGTTCATTTTCAATAATGGAAAATTGACGGTCCCAGAAACTTTCCAAAATCATTGGAAGTTATCTTTTTTGTTGTTTTCTTTTGTTTTAATTTCCACACAAATCAACACTTATTAAAGAGAAAGGAGAGAGGAGGGGCTTGCGAGGGAGAGATGGAGAGGGGCTTTCGCCTATGGTAGGCTCTAATCTCTCCTGAAAGTTACCTTTTGATCAGCAGTTCGACTCCTGGGGTTTGGGTTAATCCTTTGTAATCACACAGGAAGAACATGGTAATTCCTTTTACATTAATGAAAACTGCTCTTTTGTCATTACTGAGTTTAGATGTCCTAAACTGCACATCTCCCTTCCTTCAACTCTCCCCTACAGGACGTGGGTAAAATGCCCATCATCCCTCCTCTGAGTGTTGGCTCCAGAGATGGTATGACCCTATTAAAGATTACTAAACTGGGAGACAGGAAAAGGATGATAAGAGCAGGGGCTAAAGGAGATGATCTCCTGAAACCTGGTGTAGCAACCAGGTCCATGAATGCTCGTCTGTGAGTCCCTTTCCTGGAAATACAAACCAGCCCAAAGAGGACTGGTGGTGTCATTATGACTCTGTCTTCCTGGTACTCTGGAGCCAACAACAAGACTTCAACAGTAGAAGACAGACTCGTATTCACACAGGCTAAAGCACAGAATCTTCCAACTTTAATTTTTCTCTCGTCATTTCCTCTGTTGTACCCTGACAATAGGGGATTCTTATGGAGGCTTTGACGGCACATAACAACAACAACAACAATGGAGGCTTTGAAGTTCAATTCATTGTACAAAATAATTAACTTTGTCTTTAGTGCTAAAAGGAAGCTGATCTGAATTGCTGATGAGAAACTAGAAAGCCTGTTTCAGTGCCAGAAAATCTGCTGGGCCTCAGACAGCCAACTCACAATAGTCCCATTGTGCCTGCAGCAAAACCATGACCTCTCTACAACCACCCCACTCAGATCTTCCTGGCTCTTTCTTCTAAAGTAAAGAAAGGTGGGCAAGGGGAAGCATGTTCCCTGAATTCTCTTAGTGATAGAAACTCCATTTTGAGTTTGAGGTAATAATAGGTATAGGATTTCGTAGTGTGTTACGTGGTTTCTTGGCAAATACCTTTGAGACCTGTGTTAATATCCATAATTTCAGAATGAGGAAATTGAAGGTCAGGGAAGTTACATAACTTACCCACAGTTATAAGTTGAGGAGGACAGACTCTAGTGAAGCTCTGCCTAAATGCAGGGCTCATATTCTTCTCACTATCCCACTAACCTATGAGATAATCTGGAGATAGGGATCATTGTTGGCTAGGTCTCAGAATTTCAGACAAAGTATATTTAGAAATTATCCTATGTTTTAAATGATAACTCTTCTTAATCTCCTCTAGTTCTTTGGGGTACTGGGTTCCCTTTTTACTTCCACAGAATGTGGAATGTTGACTTCCCTCCACACTCATTCCTGGGATTTGCACATGTTGTAAACTAAAACTGGAGGGTTTTCTCAAGGTTGCATACTGTTGAATAATGACATTGATGCCTGGCTACTTGGGCAAATAGACAATGTGGTTTGGGGATTAACCACCAATGTCACATGGCAACTTTGCCTGCATCTCTTCAATATTAACCCAATTGAGTTAGGAGAAGTGGAGAAAGAAAGAACTGAACCCAGAAAATAGAAAGGCAATGGACTGAGATTCGGAAGACACACATTCTAATATGACCTAAGCCTCCAAGTACCAAGATTCCTTTAGGTACCCTCTTTAGGCCTCACTGGAGTTCTGGTAGCATAGTGCCTAAAGCATTTGACTGCTAACCAGAAGGCTGGCAGTTCAAACCCACGAGCCACTCCTCAGAAGGAAGATTGGGTGATCTACTTCTGTAGTGATACTGCCTCAGAAACCAAGGAGGGGTCGCTATGAGTCGGGTCTGACTCCAAGGCAGTGAGTTTGTTTGTTTGTTTGTTTGTTTGTTTTTAGGTCTCATTTTCAATATTAAGGTATAATTTTAAATCTTCTAGGCAGAACTGATATTCTCCCAATATGCAATGTTAAAGCTGTTAAATTGTCAAAACTCTACTGTTTTGTTTCTGTAATGCTATTCTAACAGAAATACTAAAGGTGGATGGCTTTAACAAACAGGGAGTTTATTCCCTTACAGTTTAGGAGGCTACAAGTCCAAGCTCAAAGTGCTGGCTCCAGGGGCCAGGTGAAGGCCCCTCGACCCCAGGCTTCAGCTATGCCTCCTGCTCCCAGCCCACTGGAGCTGGAGGCATCTCTTAATGCAGGCAGCTGCTGGCTGCTGAAGCTGACAAACCCAAGGTCGACAAGTCAAATGGCACAGTCACAAAATTATCAAGCAACACAGCAGGCCACTAGTTCAATTCCAGAAACAGTCTCAAGATAGGCAGACAACAGGGCAGGCCACTGAGATGAAGACTCAGTCAAATGCAGGGCCCTGGTGTGCCAAAAAACTCAAGACCTTTCTCAAAGAATGTTCTTAAATACGAGAAGCAGACCATATTCCTAAGGCAGCTACTCAGCTGCTCCAGTAGATTCCACCATGGAGTCGATGACCAGTCTTATGATGCAGAATAACTACATCCAGCTGCCCAGCCACTCAAAACCAGGCCCAGCCAAGCTGACACACACCCTTGACTACCACAGCTTCCGTGCTGAGTCGTAAAGGAGTAATGGCTGGCATTGTTGCAGCTCCAGTTCACACCCTTGTTTGTTCCAGCAACAGAGTCAGTATTATTCCAGCAACACAGACCCTGCATTGGTCCATGTCCATACCATAACCTGTCACTAAATATTTTATTATCACCCCTGCTCCTAGCTTTAATATTTTCTGTATGTATGTTTCTTATTTCTCCCTACCAGAGATAAGTGAAGAAAAGAAATCCTATCTAAATCCTCTGCTGAGGACAATGAACAATTTAAAATATACCAATGGAGTTGAAGCTGCCAATGTTCTGCTGTCTCTGAGACTTGCAGGGTTTTGCAGTCAAGACCTAGAGCAAAAGCTGATCCAAAAAGTCAAAGATTATGTGATAAAGAAAAGTGAGTGCCTACATTCTCTGGGGATTTTAGGGGAAAACCCATCTATCTAACATTTTTTCGAGAAAATCCTAAAAATTTGGTACCCGAATCACCAAAACATAAATAAATAAATAAGTACAGGAAGACAAGAGACAAAGAAAATCATAAACATATACCCCATTAAACTCAAATACTTCTCTTCTCAGTTTCAGATTTAAGTTCTGGACAGCTTGCCTGGAGTATAATGGCTTTGGGAGCATGTAAAACCCCTAATGAAATGTTTATATATGAGTATAATATGGTCCACGTTCTCGAAAACAAATTCCAAGAAGAAATTGAACATATGGGTGAGAATCAAATCTTCAGAGATGCTAGAAAACTTTTTCTCTCCCACCGATAATTAGGAGGGACCGGTCCCTGGAGAAGAACATCATGGTAAGGTAGAGTGAGCGACAAGGAGGAGGACCCTCAGTGAGTTGGACTGATACAGTGGCTGCAACAACGGGCTCAAACACAGCAGAGTTGTGAGGATGGTGCTGCACTGGGTCACACTTCTTTCTACTGTACATAGGGCTCACTGTGAGTCAGAACTCACTCGGTGGCACCTAACAATAACAAACTGATTCACAACTACATACAGTTTCCCTTCACTCTTTCCTTCTCCTCTTCATTCCATTCATCCCACTGTATCTTTGCAGATCACGTTCC